TGCCGTATCAGATAATTGGAGCCTACACTTCATAAAAAATCAATTTCCCAGCACTAATGATTATAGAGATTTTTAATTCAGTATTTTAATGTCAACGTTGTGAGTGGATAGCTATTGTATACATACTCGTCCTTGTTATTGAACTGGGCCTTGTCGCCCCTCCACCCCCGCCTCCTCCTCCCCCCTTTCTTCCCCCACACTTCTAACCTACTTCACCAACCCATAATGACCAGCGTGGTGAAGTATGCAACAGCAACAAAAAACCTCGTGACCTACTCGGCAATCTAAAATCACATCGGAGAGCTCCCCAGCCCAACCGGATGTCCCCTACGCAGTAGCTAGGTTTTTCTTGCGTGCGTTTAGTGTTGTCCTTCCCCCGTGCACATCCGATTAGCACAGTTTTAGCTACGTACGGTGCGAAAGAAGTTCAACAACTACAAAGATCCCCCGTATAGCCTTAGCAGACTGTAGGGGCAAGTGCTGTTAGTGAGCACCTATAAAGGCCGGCACGGCACACGAGGGGGCAGGTGGCCAACACCACGCCCGGCCGCCTTTGTCTCCCGAGTGGCGATGTTTACTACACACCGCACCGGGTACTCATTTGAGACTGAGTCGACACACACACACACATACGTGTGATGTCATCGGCACGGCACGGCACGGCTTCTGCAGTGGGACTAAAAAAAAAACCCGTTACCTTTCCGAGCTACGCCGGGCCTATTTGGAATTCGCCCCGGCACGGCTCGGTTGCGCAGTGGAAAATAAAAAAGTGGCAATGGCTGGCGTTTGACGCCTTAAAGCCGAGACGGGGCGTTGCGTGGGCCGAGGCGCCGCGAGTCTTTTATCTTTCTGCGAGGGAACCGGCAGAACCTTTGGCCTGGCTCCGTTCCATAAATGTGCGTCAGGAAAACGAGCCACCGCCCCCGGCCTCATCCGCTCACGTGACGTTTCTTTTTTGGTGGGGAGAGTTTTTTTTTGCGGGGAACGTCCGAAGCGGAGGAGGAACGCGCGCCAACACCGCCGTCGCCGCCGCCGCCATGATGGATGTCGTAAAAGCGGCGCCGCGTGAGCCCGTGACGTTGCCCAGACCCTCGCGCGCGCGTTCGCTTTTGCCGCTTGTTCATCGCTCGGTCCGCCCGCGTGGCTCGGCGGCAGAGCGGGCGGCTCGCCCAAGCGGAAGATCGCGAGTTCAATTCCTGGTAGGTGGACCGGTTTTACTCGGCCCATCATCATCATCCATCATAATCATCATCCCTCAGGGGGGTCAATAGAATAAGTACCGCTTTGTGGGGACGTCAACAGCGGGGTTTCCCTGTGGATAGACTCGCCCCCGCCATAGGAATGTGGGAATTTCCCCCACCGGCTCTGCAGCGGTGCAAAACTGGAGATGAGCACCCAATGCCTCCGACGTTCATCTGAGAAGGAAATCTCGAGTGACTTGAAGTCGACTAAGACCAATCGCCAAGGCTGGGAAACACTAAGGGCTCGGTCCCAAAAAAAAGTAACAATGGATTTGTATTTATTTGGGCAAGTCTCACCGAGTCTCACCGAGTCTCTCACGCTTCATTTAAAGTTGGGCCCTGCCACAAGTGGAATGTTTTGCCAATTATATAACTCATGGGGTGTTTTGGCGTTTAATTAATGGCATTGGCTCACTGGGCCTGCCCGGTTCAAGCGCAGAGCCAGCACAAGTGTCGGTGGTCATGGATTAATCTGGCATTAATATTTCACGGGGTGTTGGAAGTTGAGATTTAAGTTGGTATACAGGAGGTTGTGAGGTCGATCCCGACCCTGACACCTGCGGTATATTTGGAGTTTGCATGTTTCTCTCTCTCTCCCCGTGGTCGTGTGGATTTTCCTCCGGGTCCTCCGGTTTTTCCCCCTCCACATTTAGAATCAACATCACCACGCGTTTCGAGGATTTGGCTGCTGTACATTTTCACCTGATTTGCCACTTCGTTGAGCTACCATTTGTGATAGCCACATCGCTTCTAAAAAAATAGCTCAGTGGGCATTACCCTGGTTAGGGTTCTTTGTGTCAACTGCACATAGCATTGCCTGTTTACATATTGGCGGGGAGCGCTGTGCAGTGGCAGGGATACTGCAACACAAAGACAAAGAAAGATCCCCCGAGTAGCCTTAACAGACTGTTGGGGCAAGTACTGTTCGTGAGCACCTATGAGGGCCAGCACCACGCCCAGCCACCTTTGTTTCCCAATTGGCGATGTTTACTGCACATCACACCAGGTACTCATTTGAGGCCGAGTCGACCTAGGGAGGCCCAAAACCGGGTCAGATAATAATCATCACCGGTGTTCGCCGTGAGCGGGAATCGAACTCGGTTCGCCGGGTTCGGAGCGCAGCATAGCGCTAACCGCTACACTACCACAGGGGGATACTGCAACAGACACAAGGAGGAGAGGGATAAGGTGGCAAGCTGAGCCATACTGCGTCTGAGAGAGTGCGAGCGAGCAAATTCCTCTTGGCAGGAGATACACAGTGGGGGGGGGTTGAGGTGATGGTAGCCTGCTCTCCCACCGATAGACTTGTACTCTGGAATGAATCTGACTGTTCATTGCCGGCGACAGGCAGGGAGATGAACTTGATTTAACCGTACGAGGGCCGGCCACCGCAATGGTTTATTTTTAAGTGCAGTCGACCCGAACGGAAGCGCGCAGAGCGTTGGAGAATAGAACGCTACACAACGCAGGACGCACAGATAAAACGTCAACACACACGCGCGCGCACACACACACACACATCCACGCGCGCAACCACTGCCATTCACCAAAAAGTGGTAGTGACCGTCACCGCAGCACTTGTGCCAGGGCTAGGTGCACTTTGAGGATGTCGCGTAAAGTGTCGAAGGCTGGGCCGCTGGCAGGGGATCACGGAGCAGACCCCAGGGAGTTATGGGTTGACCGAGTAGATGACTGTCGGTGTGTGTGTGTGTCAATGTGATTGCCCGTTGTGTCCGACGGCCACCACTTTGGCACGCACACATCCAGATTCACACACACACACTAACACATATCCAGATTCACACAAGACAAAGATCCCCCGTGTAGCCTTAACAGACTGTAGGGGGCAAGTGCTGTTAGCGAGCACCTATTAAGGCTGGAATGGCACACGAGGGGATGGGTGGCCAGCACCACGCCCGACCGCCTTTGTCTTCTCAGTGGCGATGTTTACACACTGCACCAGGTACTCAGAGGCTGAGTCGGCCTAGGGGAGGCCCAGGACCGGTTCAGATAATCGTCACTGGTGTTGGCCATGAGCGGGAACTTAACCCGGGTCGCCGGTTTCGTAGCGCAGCGCGTTAACCGCTACGCTACCGCTCCCCACAATTTGCTGACACACACACACATACACATGGACGCACAAGCACGTACACACTCGCGCGCACTCTCCCACTCTTCACACGCTTACCCTTATAGACGCACAAAGACAAAGGTCAACCCTTCGAGCCATACTGACTGTGGAGGCAAGTGCTGTTCGTGAGCGCCTATTATGACCAGCACGGCGCACCAGGAGGTGATGTGGCCAATGCCAGGCCCCCTGACCACCTTCATCTCTCTGGCCCTGGTGTTCGCACACCGCACCCGGCGCTCGTTTCAAGGCCGAGTCAGCCGAGGGGTCGGCGCTTTGGCCGCGAGTGCCAACCGGACTCGGAGACGCGGACATCTCAGGGCGGCGAGCGTTCACCAAATCTGCCGAAGCAGACCCCCTCGGCGTCAAAAGCCCTCGTACGTGCACGAGGCATCGGCCAATCGTCCCGATGCTGAGTCGGCCGCAGCAGCTGGCGGGGGGGGGGGTCACCCTTCCCGCTCGGATGAAGAGTCTCGGACCGGGCGGAGAGACCTTTCCTGCCGGAGTAAAAACAAACGGCAACTAAAGGACTTGTCTCTCATCGCCCCCCCCCCCCCCACCTTGCGCGCCGATCTCCCCCCCCCCCCCCCCCCCCTTTCACAAGTGTGGTGGTGGCGGCGGCAGCGGTGGCAGAGAGATGATCCACAGAATCGTAATTAGAGGCCCCCCGGTCGTCCCTGCACGGGTGATGCCGGGCCGAGCCGGCGGGCGATAAGAGGCAATTAATATGCGGCTCGGGTGTAAATCACGCAGCGCCGGCATGGGGGGGGATCGGTGGGTGGGTGGGGGCGGTGCAGCGATGCCTTTGCCAGCCGCGTGCCAGTCCTTCCGATATACGTCGTACCCGTGGTTTTGTTTTATAATTGTTATAAGACCAACGTACAGCCTTGTTGGCCTGGGTTTCGAAATCGTAGTCTTAATTCATCCTGGAGAAATGGGTTACCACATGTCATTGGCCCTGTTCAGCGCTAAAACCGGATTTGAATCCGGGTTTAGGCCACTGCCTGTGTGTAAACCGTGTTCTCAAACGTTGCGAGTTGATGGTCTCGGCCCGGTCACCCATGATTGCGCATTAAATTTGCTTCTGCGCATAATTCGATTCAGATTTAAAATAAATATATCAGTTTAACCGTGCTGAACATTTCTCCCCACGGTGCAGCCACCAGGAAGTACAGCCCCTGCTCCACTTGAATTATACCTCCGAAGTAGTTCGGTGACATCCTCCTCCTTCCAATGGGCCATCTCCTGTCATGGGAGGGGTTGCGCTGCCCTCTGGGGGTTCCGCCAGCGTGGCGGCGTGGCTCGGGAGGCGCCCGGTTTTCTTTTTCCACTGCAGGAGCCAAAGTCGCGCTAGCGACGCCACGCGCAGCGGACGAGTCCGGCGGGCACGCAGGCAACAACGTTAGTGACGTCGCAGCGACGCCATCTTTAAGTCGCGTCACTCGCTGAAGTTGAGCGGAAGGCGGCAGCCTTCACGCCCGCCCGCGTGGGCTCGGCTCGGGTGTGCCAGGGGGAAAGCGGCACGAACTGGACGATGGTGACGGGGCGAATCGGATGTTGTTTGGCGAGCGCGGTGACGGAGTCCGCGCCCGGTAACCGATGGACCGTTCCGCGCGTGCTGTCGATTGCAGGCTGACGGCGCAAATCATGGACCGCTGTGGAGTGTCCCCTGCTCGCAAGGTAAAGCCGCCACCACCGCTGCTTCTCGCAATAATCCTCTTCGTCTTTCGTATGGCTGATGTCGATGCAGGGCAACAGATACAATTCCGCTTAGCGTTGTTGTTGCCCTGGAGGCCGGGAAATCGACGATCGATGTTCATTCGACGCCATTCGTCGCGATTTCTCACTTAACAGTGGGGCCAGGTGAAGGCCACCATCTTCCACTTCCACTGACGATGATGATGATATTATCAATGATAACGCAACGGTGCCACCGTTGAACATTTCAGCGAAACCAATGCTCGTCGGTAATTAACAGTAACGGTTAGAATTAATGAATTAATTGTCCGCATGCAGGAGCACGCCGAGGTTGCAAGGCAAGGTGAGCGTGTGAGCAAAGTCGTTGCACGCGGGCACAAGGCAGTCGAGATGATTGATGGTCCCATCACTCGCTGATTCGCTCACTCGCTTGCTCAAAGGCGGTGGCAAGTCGCCTCCTTGTCTCTGCTACCCCTACTGCAGTCTCTTTGCCAATGGACATTTTTATTTGTTAACAGAATAACCGAGTCAATTGTCGGTAAAAATGATCAATGATCGTCCAGGCCCCAGACAGTCCCAGAGAGAGCATTGACTGCAGGGGGAGGTATGTGACTAGCAGCCACAGCCGTAGCGAAAGGTGGTACCCACTGGATGTGGTGTGGCGGATGGTGAAATGTACTACGAGGTCGAGGACCAAGATAGACACGGCTGAAAATGAAGAAAATAAATTGCTGATTTTACGTGTGGATTTTCGCGGAAAAATGTTACGATTCGTAATTGATTTGTTGGGGTAGGCCGCCACGTCATGATCTGGCCATGATTGTGTTGTCAAGACCCTCTGCCACTCAACAGAGCCAAACAAATTTAATTTCCACGCTTGGTATAAAATCGTCTAACCCGGGTTGTTTCACCGGTTAAGTTGAAGAAAGATTCCCACGCCCATATTTAGCAATTAAATGTTTACGTTTTGCTTCAAGCTATGCCAAGCTTGAAGCTATATGCTAACCCATAGCATCTTTCTGCATTGTATTTTCTCCCCCTGTTCTGCATGGGTCTCCTGCAGATTTCTCCCGCATACTTAGTGTCATTGACGTTGGCCAAACATCCAAATGTAGTGGGACCCTTCAGAGAAAAAACGAGTCTTCGGACTCAGTGTTGCTTTCCTGGGTAAAAAAAACGAATTATTGTTATGATTACAACGTTAATTAAGCCCTGCGACGGGCTCTATTGTAACCAGCACCGCGTCCGTCTCTGTCGTGCTCTCTCCGTCTCTCCCTCCCACTCTTTCTCTATCTATCTCCCTCCCGATATCTCTCTCACCCTCTCTCTCTCTCTTCCTCACTCTCTTTCCCTCCCTCTCTCTGCACGCCGCCCGTCCCTCTCATTTTCTGTTCCGCCTGGGGCTCTCGTCTTGATTCCGCCGTCGCACCCCCACGAGCCCCCCCCCCCCCCCCGCCCTTCCCCGCCACTTTGTTTCGCGCCTCCCGTGCCCAGCACCGCCGCTCGTTACGATGCCTCGTGCCCCCCCCCTTGCCTCCCCCCCCCCCACCACCACGTTCTGCCCCTCTCCCCGTGCCGCCAAATTACCGCGGCTTGTAAACACGCACGTGGGACCCCCCCCCCCCCTTCCTACCCCCCTCAACCAACCGTCACGGGGCTCTGACTGGCAGGGAAGTGGGGGGGGGGGCTTATCTGGACCTGCTCGTTAAATTGACGGTGATAATACCGACTCCACCCCCACATCCAGTGCCCCCCCCGCCCCCCCCCCCCCCCCCCCCCCGAGACACGATGACAACCACCACAGCAGCCGAGAAACATAAACCCGACATGAAGGAGTGCAGGTGCGGAGCCAACTGCGTCGTCTACAGAGACCCATAGATTTACATAGATACCCGCGGATTCGCAGAGGGGGCGAAGGACTCGCACAGAGACCCACGGGCGAATGTTGTTGTCGTCGGGCGGCTATCATTTTGCACTGCTGGGTAAAGGCCTCCCCCATTTTATTCCATTCATGGCTTTCTTTGGACTCGCATTGAGACTCAAAGACTCCCATAGATCCATAGTCTCCAATAGAGACCCATAGAGTCCAATAGAGATCCATGAACTACAATAGGAGACTCATAGACTCCCATAGATGTATTGACTCAAATAGAGACCCATAGACTTCCAGTCGCCTGTTCAAGAAGTGGCTCGAGACCTTTCTCTTCTCGTCTGCCTATGACGCACTGCTCCCCCACCCACCTCTCTCTCTCTCTGTATAAATATAAACGCACACAAACAATAAACATGCCCGCCATTTATCTACGGCATCTCGAGATGCGGCCACGTGTAGACACTGCCGTGGGCATCCAACCTGCATTTTAACGCGTATGCTTTCGCGACCAATATTATCCATAATCGAGGTTTTTGGCTGTCGCCTGATGAGGCTGGTTGTAATTACTGGCATAACGTCACGGTGCTCGAAGGTAAATGTGGTGGGTTTACCCCCCCAATACAACGGTGCTCTGTGCGAGTAACGCATTGGCACGTTCTGTTTATGTGACAAACCATACTAATTGGCTGTGTCGGGTGGTGGCGGGTTAAACGACACATTTATATTTACGCGACCTAACCCAAAACACCTTTATTATGCACCCTGCATTGTGTTGTAAGCATTGCAACTTGTGTGCGAGTCCGTGCCAGCTTTAGGCACGTACCACCAACCGCACGCACCCCCGCCCCCGGCACTGGACACGGCCATCCTGCTTTGTACTCCTTTCGCCTCCTATCGCTCGCCGGATGCCGATTACATCGCCCAGACGGCAGATCGTAAACACGGGGTGGAGGTGGTGGCAGAGGTGTGGGGTGGGCGGGGGAGGACGGTGGGGAACAACATCCAAAGGAGCATTCCGCTTTCAAAGGGACAAAAAAAAACCGAAATCAAAACGCAAACAGCGGCCGGGAAATCGATGAGTGGGTGGGATACGGCAATCTCCTTGGCCCACGGTTGCGAGCGGTGGCCACCGGTCCCGCACCACGGAGCGCTCGGCAAACACCGCTCTCCGCATCGATCAAAGTTGCCGACACCGTTTCCCATCTTCACCGGGTGTGTGTGTTCGTTTGTGTTTGCGTGCGCAATTCATTGGGACCCATATAAGTCTGTTGGTCTCTTTGTGAGTCTATGAATCTCCAATGCGAGTCTATGTGTCTCTGTAACTCTGGATATCTATGTTAGTCTATGGATCTCTATGTAAGTCTGTAGACCACTTTGCTAGTCCGTGGGTCTCTATGCAAATCGATGGAATTCTAGATTTGAAGCTTGCGTGACTGCAAGGATTCATACTCTTTGTTTTTTTCGGTAAAGTCACGTAAGTAAAAAATAAATAAAGTAAATTAAAACTAAATTAAATCACGACCGTTTTGGGCGGAACACAAGCGTCCTTTTTCGATGGAAGTCTATGGGTCTCTAGCGAGTAGATGGGGTGTTTCACCTGAAACTATGCCAAGCGGCTTCTGGACAAGATCCACAAAGTGAGGATAAAATCCAGGAAGTCGGAATCAACGTTTCTTATCGACTTCCCACTGTACAGAAGGAGGGAGAGGGGGAGAGAGAGAAGCTCTTCATAGGAGCCGGGCCATGTCTCGTTTCACGGGCGGGCGATGTGACGAGCGATCCAACGGCGGTTCTGCGTAAGCGTCGGGGAAACGGTGAACCACGCGCGCTCTCGCTGTAAGGCAATCAGCCGGCTAGGCGCATGATTGCCGCACCCTCTGTCTGAGCCACTCAATTTTCCGGCTGGTTAATTTCTATGAGATTCCCTTTCCTGTGCGTGTGCAGGCCCGCTTATTTATTTAATGTTCCCGGCAGCAGTGGTGGTTCCCGAGTTTGACGATAGTGCTGTTGCTGCTGGTGGTAATTGTGGTGCGGCTGGTGGTGGTGTTGCCTGTCATTGTTTTGCCGTTCGCTTGAAACACACCGGACGTGGTGGAACTCTCTGGAAGTGAGATTGATTGGCGAGGGCAAGCCCCCGATGTGTAATGAGCTCCCCGCAATTCCCCCCTCGCTTGCCTGGTCGTGCCGAGCGGCACACGGCACAAGCCCCCCAAAATCATCGCAGAGCCAGCAGTGGTTTTTTTTTTCCGTTGGATGGGGGAATGGAAGTTGTCTCAGTAGGGAGACGCAACAATGCACAGAGAGAAGTGGAGAGGGAAATAGAGAGAGAGAGACCACTGTTAGGGAAACGGTCAGGCTGCGATGGCCCAAAAAGGCCCAGAAAGGCCAAGCGACTATGAGATAAAGATTTGACTGTGGCCAATTCCACAATGACAGAATTACAGCGTGGGACACAGAGCCTGATCATTGATCAAAACATTTCACTTAACCATAATTTTGAGATTTTATATTTTCCAAATGCTTTTATGCAACTGGCTGGTGTCTGATATCACGGCCACATTAATGGTAACTTTGATTATTTTTTATTTTTTAGAGCTCTGCCCTCCTTTACGCCAGAGCGAATTCAGAAAAAGCATTTCACGCGATAAGTGACTTGCATCACATTTCATCATCTCAAGACTTTTGAAAAGGGCACCCCCCGTGGCAGCTGTCCCTGTGTGGCATAAAGTGATTCGGTATCTGGTCTGCGAGCAGGCATCAGTCTGCCAGTAGAAGGCAAGTGGCTGATATGTGTAATCCCAATTGAGTCATTGGAGTAATTCTGCAGAGTGCAATATTTCGAATTTGACAATTTTGGACCTTGACACAAAACGGTCTCCATGTTTCGAACGATGTCTCGGCATCTTCCAACAGCAACTGCGCAGCAGATAGTGCAAACGTTTTACGGTTAATACATCTGCAGTTATAACCAGGGCGGTCTCTCGGATTCAAACCGTGAACCTCTACAACAAAGCGGTGAATGTACGACCACCGGGCCACATCCACAGCCCTATTGGTGTCTTACACTTTCTTTAACTGTCGGATCGCACGTGGATGACCGTGCATCTAAACTATACGATAAACTCAAATATTTATATTTTACCAGTTAAGGCCCACTGAGCTGATTAGCGCTTTTTCATTAGACGCCACCTGGCCACAAATGGTTGCTCAACGAAGTGGCTTATCACGTGGAAATTTATAGCAGTAGCCAAATACTCTAAGCACGTGACGTCGATTCTAAATGTGGAGGGAAAAACCGTAGAACCCGGAGAAAAATCCACACGACCACGGGGAGAGAGACACCGCAAACCGCAACATATACAGCAGGCCGTCAAGGTCGGGATCACAACTACGACCTCCTGTATACTAGGCGAGGGAGATTACTTATTGCCACCGTGCCCCCCTACCCCCCCTACCCCCCCCCCCCCACCGTGCATCGATTATATCGGCTTCATGTAAATCAATGCGGTTGTGGGGAGTGTGTGAGTGAGAAACCTTGCAGCTCGGTGGCACAGGGGGATTTCTTACTGTGGGAATATTGAATTTGTGTTTTTTAATAGCTTGTCCGATTTGTAAAATCGTTTGTCAAATTGATGCTCGTCAAAATTGGACTTCCCAAATGGGTTGTCATTTTCAAACGTTTTGGTCATCATATTTGTTTTCGTAGCGTATGCAAATTAATTTCGTCCGTGCAACACGAGTCAATCTTAATGAGGAATTGGCCAAACATGCCGATCAAATCAGTGCAGGGAAATAAATAAAATGGCTTTGTCGCGTGTATTGAAAATGTTCCAATAGGTCCTCTGGATCCGCACGAGCTATAAAAACCAGTCGGATATATTTTTTTTTATTCGGCGATAACATTAATCTTATTTGCTGCTTCTGCTGCTGTTTTATATATATTTATTATTATTGTTTACCCAGGAAAGCCTCGCCAAGCCTCGAAATTGTGTCAGGAGGTGTGCCGCTTCCCACTGGGATGTTTGGTCGATTCCTCGCCAAGATCGCTGCGTTTAACCTCGCCCAATTCAAGCAAACGTGTTTTAACCCTCGTTATCTATGTACGCCCTCGAGAGTGCCGTCTGTTGCTGGCCGCTTGGCGTTTTTGGGCCACGTGGGGCCTGTTGCTCAGCCTCATGGCGCACATCATGATGACAACCACCGCACCCACCATGCAATATGTATAAATGTTAAATATATTTACACTCACAAGCACCTCACGTGCGCGCGTGTGCGGGTCCCAACTCGCCCAAGTTGATTGAGAGAGCGTGCGCGCGCTCCCATCGCATGCCGCCCAGCCACGTGGGAGCGCCCGCGCGTCGTCCATCCGTCCTCATTCCACTTATAATTTGAAGTGTTTTGTTGTTTTTGTTTTATGTTGCCGTTAGTCATCCTCGCCTTCTCCTCCTCATCCTCCATCGGAATCGCCGTCCGCCCTCGATGTAAGTGGGAGCGCACGCGCGCATGTCTACGTGCGTGTGTTTGTGTGCGCGCGTCCATGTGTGTATGTGCGTGTGTCAGCAAATTGTGGGGGGCGGTGGTGCAACGGTTAGCGCACTGAGCTACGAACCCGGCGACCCGAGTTCGATTCCCGCTCACGGCCAACACCCGTGGCAATTATCTGAACTGGTCCTGGGCTTCCCCTACGTCGACTCAGCCTAAAATGAGTACCTGGCGCGGTGTATGAACACCAGGGCTGGTAAGATAAAGGTGGTCGGGGGTGGTGTTGGCCACCCACCCCCTCATGCGCCATTGCTGGCCCTCATAGCTGCTCGCTAACAGCACTTGCCCCAACGGCCTGTTAAGGCTACACGGGGGGGGGGGTTCTTTGTCTTTATTTGTTAGTCAGCAAATCTCACCATGTTTCATAATCCACGGGTCGAGTCAGAGGTTATGGGTTCAGGGGTCAAGGGTCGACAGACGTCATCTCTACGGATCGCGCCGCTGCACTGAGCGATGGCCGCTTAAATCCTACTTCGCCTCCGGGCAACACTTTTGCCGGCTGCTTGGCATTTTGGACCTCTGCTCAGTAGTGACCTCGATTCAGATCAGTAAAACATTCAAATACAAATCGCCCTGGATGCGACCAATCTCGGTGTATTGCTCGGATGGGTTGTCTGCCTGGGAATGCCAGGTGTTATAGGCTTGGCGATGCAAGGTGGCGATGAGATAACGGTACAGCGATGAGGTTCCCGAATCTTGCGGTGCGGACATTGCAGGGTTATTACCGCATTCGTGTGGAATGTTTCTTCTGGGTTTTCTACGGATTCCTCCCATAGCTAAAAACAAAACCCAGATGCAATGTAAAACTTGTATTGGCTGCAACCCCGACTGCAAAAACCCTGACAGGACGCTCTTGAGACTCGGACTGTCCTGCGTGAAAGAAGGATAATAATCGACAGACATTCTGCTGCCAGAAGTTTCGTGGACCCCAGCGGCTTCTGTTATGGAGGCGGCGTGGGAACAATAAGCATTATGGCTTTTTAGTTAATGAAATGGCAGCAAGGTTTACATTTAGAAGTTAGAGCGTGGCAGTGCCCTGGCTCGAGTACTGTAGGGAGGAAACCTGTCCAGACTCAATTAATTTGTTTTGGTAACTAAAGCCTACATATTAAACTAAACTCCACGGCGAGTGAGGAAACTAATTTGAGAATGTGGTCGTTTTAAAAACATTGCGAGATTGACGAGCTGTGTGGGTGCCTCGGAGGCCAAGGATCACTCAGCCGGTACAGCTGAAAATCCTAGGTGTGACTGGGTTTTCAGCCACTGCCCATGGTTAAACAGAGTTCTCAGCGTATGTGTGTTGAACTTCTTACGAACCGTGCGTAGCCAAAGGTGCTAATCAGAGTTGCATGGGAAGGGACAAACTAAAACACAAACGGCAGTTCTAAAGAAATGAGTTTGTAAACTAGATTTATAAGAACCAGGACCTAGGAATAAAATATCCCGACCCTGACGCCTGCTGTAGTATATTTCGAGTTTTCATGTCTCTACCCGTGATCGCTTGGATTTTTCTCTGGGTCCTCCGCTTTTTTCCCCCTCCGCATTTGGAATCGACATTGCGCGTTTAAAGTATTTAGCTGCTGTAAATTCGTTGAGCTGTCATTTGTGGCCAGGTCGCTTCTCAAATGTGAGCTCCACAGCTCCGTGGGCCTGACCTGGTAAAACACAACGCACTCTCCGCGTGGGGGCGGAAACTTCGAACATTGCGCCGAACGTTGTACGGCGCAACCGGGGAACACATCGGAGAGCCGTTACAGCATCACGACGGTGTAACCACTAACAACCCCCCCCCTCCGTGGGGCGCCGAGTTGTTACATCAACACATTCGCAGTCGTCTTCGTTCGATAATTTTCACAAGGTTTGGCCGCAATCGCCGGGAGAGGTTTAAAAACAATTGGAGGAGCGGAGCGACGGTGCTTATTGTAGCAGGTGGAAGAATAATTTAAAACGTCCCTGAGCCGTGGTAGAGCGTGGATTTGAAGGGAATAATCGGTGGGGGTGGCAGGTGGACCCTGTGGGCCAAGTCGGAGGAGGAGGGAGGGTCACGTGGGATTATTTCCAGGCGGGGGAACGACCAAAGGGCTTGGTTCTCTCGTAATTTCGTGGGGGTGACTGCGGTGTGCGGGGGGGGGGGGTCACTGCAGTGTGCACGTGCCACCGAAAACCAATTATTAACACTGCATGCCTCAGGCTTTCTGTGTCACATATTCTCTCCTCGGGCGTTAATAATTGGTTTAATCAAATCGCCCGTCGATACATGTTATGGAACGCTTTCAGGTTCACTTCGTCTGTCAAATTTCAAATTCGACCACCTCCAATGGCCAAGATCTTTTTTTGATGCAGCGGTCCGATCGGCCTCACCGTACCTGTTACTTGGGGCAGTAATCGAGGCGTGCAACTGGTCAGTGAGTTGTTGTTTGAAACCGAGGTCATGCATGGCACAGGTGGCTGGGAATCAGATGAAATGTTTCGTGTGGAAACTACGATGGCCGTAGTACACCAACACACAAATGCCGAAGTCCAACGCAACCTAGGTTATTATAAGAGTTGCGCGTTTGTAAATGTTGTTGCTTAATAACACTGTGTTGTGGGCCTCGAAAGGAAAGAAATATGTAATGGGTGAGATTTTTTGGCAATGGCCCTTCTTTATAGCACGTAAACAGGCGAGATAGACTGAGTGAATAACAGTTGGAGAATGTGCTATATAAAAATACTGTATACACCATGCAGCCCTGACAGAAATGTAACATTAAAAGTTTTTTACAGATTGGCAGTGGTAAATTTGGCATTCGAACAGAATCCGAGATCAACTTTGCACTGTTCGCTCCTGAGAGTCATTGGTGAGAAACCGTCTTAAATATCAGGCGCTCATTATTGATGGGAGTTTGATGATTACCTTCAGAAATCATCGTTATAAGTTCGGAATATTCGCGTAGCGGTTTGCACGGACAATCTTGCAACCGAGACATCTACCTGTAAGGGTTGTGTGGCGGTCAGGGGGTGGCAGTCGAGAAAATAGAGAAGACATCATGAGCTGATAGGAAGTCCGTTGTGAGATTATTCACGGTGATCCATTTATAGATAACCTACCAAAATAATGTGCAGGAATGACAGAGGAAACATTGCTCAAGGCCTCTGCCCATTAAATATGGAACGCTGGTACAAGGGTTCCCGACGCATAACCGCAACGTTGGCCCAACGTCGCATGTTGCACTGGGGACATGTTTCCCACCGGTCTTATAGAATGCACTTATTGAATCCTTAAAAACTCACCCCCCGTACACTTTGTCGCACGCACAGTGCGCGCCTGCGTGCACACACAAAACAGTCTTTGATTTAACGCCACAACGAGAGGGTGTCCAGTGGGGTTATATCAGGCGAACGCAGGGACCATGCAATTGTTCCACCCTGGCCAATCCAACACATAAATTAAACAAATACTTTGATGCTGCTGGTGCTGCTTTGGCAGTGGTAAACAATAACAAATAGCAAAACAACAACAACAACACATTCGTCAATAATGGTCCTGAAACCAAAAAGTCTTTGTTTATTTAAACTAAACTATTTTTTTATTTCACCAGGTAAGGCTCACTGAGCTGTATAGCTCTTTTTCAGAAACGACCTGGCCACAAATGATAGCTCAACGAAGTGAATTATCACGTGGAAATGTATAGCAGCCAAATACTCTAAACGGACGTTGATTATAAATGTGGAGGGAAAAATTGGAGGACCCGGAGAAAAATTCACACGACCACACGTGGAACATGCAAACTCCAAATATGCAGGTATCAGGGTCGGGATCGAACCCACGACCTCCTGTATACCAGGCGAGGTAGTTAACATCACGCCACTGTGGCTATATTATAGGTGACGTTTCAGGCAATGGCCCTACTTCAAAGCATGGACTAGCCAGATGGTGGATAATAAGAATTGAACATCATGGGGCCTGGTGGTAATTACATTTTTCAAATGTTTCCTGATGAGCAGTTGTTTTAAAAAAGCACACGCATAGTTAAACTATGAGCGTAGCTATTCATTCGTGAAAATTCCATTTGACTTCATCCGTCGGTTGGCTGGACACACGGCCCAATCTTGAAGCAGGCGAACTCTTGAGCCGGCTTTTTGACCTCCAAAGTCTAATCGGCAAGACTGAAGCCCATTCATCCAGTACACAAAATATCAATATATTCTTCAGTGTTATCATCTTCGGGGGTGTAAAAAAGAAAAAACTGTTTCCGAAATGGCACAAAAAAATCATTTCAGAATTTGTCAAACATTTTACGCAAGAAGACTGATAAGGGAAAAAAAAAACGATTATATATTTTTTCTTTCAGATGTGCGAATGACTATTATTATTCTGTCAAAGTAAATGTCATCTCTGGGCTGACAGAATTGCCGGCAGAGTGGCGGGATCGCTCTCTCGCGATTGTCTGGCTCGTGACGACGTTCCACCCCCCCCCCCCCCCCCCCCGCTTCTGAAGCTTTGACGCAACTCCTCTCCCTGTTTTTGCCATTTCCTCCCCACCCTCGCTCAGCTCTCCGCAAGACAGAAAGCGCGTCTGGCCGTTAAAGGTGATTATTCCTTTGTTTCGATTTCCTCTTTGGCGATGCCGGCACCCGCTACTGCTGACGCCTTTCATTTGATTTTTTTTTTTAAGGAATGTGCTTCCAAGTGTGTGTGTGTAGGTGCTCGTTAACAGCTGCGGAAGCGGTGGTGTAGCGGTTAGCGCGCCATGCTGCGAACCCGGTTCCATTCCTGCTCACGGCCAACACCACCGGTGACGATTATCTGAACCGGTCCTGGGTCCTCACCTAGGTCGACTCAGCCTCAAATGAGTACCTGGTGCGATGTGTAAACATCGCCACTAGAGAGACAAAGGCGGATGCCCACCCCCTCGTGTGCTGTGCCGGCCTTTATAGGTGCTCGCTAACAACACTTGCCCCAACAATCTGTACAGGCTATATGGGGGATTCATATTCTTGGTTCTTTTGGTAAAGTCACGTAGAAGGGAAACAATTAAAAAATATATAAAACAATACAATTATCAGGTGTGAAAACCACAACAAGAAAATGTTCTTGTTGTGGTTTTCACACCTGATGATGATTGTTTGTGTTGCAGTCGAGACGTCATGAGAATTTTATTGTTTTATATATTTTTTTATTCTTTTATTTTTTCCCTTCTACGTGACTTTACCAAAAGAACCAAGAATATGAATCCCTGCAGTCACGAAAGCTTTAAATCAAAATTTATATGGGGGATATTTGATTTTTGTCGTAGATAGCACTAGCCCCAACAGTCTGTTGAAGGCTATCCAGGAGATCTTTGTGTTCATGGGTGTGGTAGCATGGCTTGGCGATCTGCGCAACGAACCTAGACACCGGAGTTTGATTCCCGTTCACTGCCAACTCCGGTGATGATTATTTGAACCCGTCCTGAGCCCTCCCCTAGGTTGACTCGACCTCAAATGAGTACCTGGTGCGGTGTGTAACCATTGCCACGTGGCAAAGGTGGTCGGGTGTGGTCTTGGCCACCCAATCAGCATTTTGTGTGCCGTGCCAGCCTTAATATGTGCTCGGTAACAGTCACCTCCCCTAGAGTCTGTTCAGGCTATGCAGGGGGACCCTTTGTCATTTGTGCGTGCCTACCATTGTGAGCAAGTGTGGCCGTGTATAATTAATTGCGCGTGCCTGCGTATGCGAGGATCCGGTTTCAGAGATGGCTAAAAATAGGTGGGTTGTCTCTGTTGACCACCCTGACGAGCCCGTAGAGGACATTCCACATTCCTAGGGCCCGGGGCCCACAGCCACAACCACTGTTGTCAAACAACATTTTCAAAAATATTATTTTGTCTTTTCCCCCATCACAATCGTTTTAGAGAATGGCCCGAAACAGATGAGCCGCACGGGAAAGCGGTCTGTAAATAATCCCTTCACCGGTCATTTATGTCGCAAAATCGTTTCCTTGTCAGTCGGTTTCATATTTCGTGATCTGCAATTGAGCCAAATTTTAAGTGGCAAGCTGAATTTAAACCACGGGGCTTTTGTGCGCAGTCCAGTTACTACATTCGGAGAATCCAGGTTTCATGTAACATATGCGAAGTGTGAATATAACAGCGAATGCATTCTGGCAGGCACGGTTCAAGGAATGTAAAAATGTATTGTAATAATGAATTTAATCGATACATCCAACATACCTATTATTTTCTACATATGAAGGAAGGGTTAAAAACTCCCGGATCAGATTATATCAGCCGTGGACATAATAAAAAAAAACCCAACGATCTGGGCAACAGTCGCCAAACTTGTCGACTGAAATATTTACACGCAAATGAAACGCTGCAGTCGTGGAACTAATGCTTCGGGTCATTCTTCGAATTCCAAAGCGGGTGTTAATGTACGGAATCTGAAATGTGAAACAAATATAGCAATAATCCTAACATTTCAGTAATAATAACAATAATAAAAACATGCCATTTGTCGTGATATACTCGCACCGCATGCACCACCACCACCACCGCAGCAGCAGCAGCAGACGATGAACTACGAACGTTGACCGTCTTCCCAACCTTCTCTCCCTCCTCCTCCTCCTCCTGTCGCGGCGGCAGCGGCGGCCGCGGTCGCTGCTAGCGTGGCGGGCGGTGGCGACGGCGGCGGCCTCAGCCGGCGCACCGTGCCGTGCGTGGAGCTGGGCAGGCCCGACTGCGACGGGTGGCTCTGGAAGAAGCGCGAGTCCAAGGGGCTGCTCACGCCCAAGTGGAAGAAGCACTGGTTTGTCTTGAAGGACGGTGCCCTCTACTGGTACACGCAGCACAATGTGAGTACTCGCCCCCCACCCCCCCCCCCCCCCCCCCCCCGGTTTGAGTTGCTTCTAGGCGACGGAAATGGGGGGGGGGGGGAGATAAAAAAAAGTGGCATAGCTCCCAATGGCTTCCTAACATGGGAAGGTAGAACGTTCCAGACGGCCGCGGAAGCGAAGGCGCGCGATGTATGAAAAACGTCGGATAAATCGATTTTAGGATGTACGTGGATCAGTTTAACACGTAGGCTTTCGCTACCAATATTATTCATAATAAACGTTTTTGGGTTACATTGCGTTATTTATAAATGTGTCGTAACCCTCCACCACCCGACACGGCCAAACATTAAAAAAATGTGTCACGTTTACAAAGGACAAATAGTTCACTACTTTAGCCCACCGGTGTGTTGAAGAGTGAATCAACATCATTTAAAATTTGAGTAGGACGTTTCGCTGGCAATTACATCCAGCATCATCGGGCAATTCGCCAGAATGGTAAAGCCCTCACTTGCTCCCGGTCTTAAATAGAGCAGCAGGGTGACGTCATCACTTAACTCATTCAGGTGCAGTGATTTGAGGTGGAGGGGGGGTATTGTAATTATATAATCGTAGCATATAATCACAATAACACATTACAACTAATTACTAATCTACAACTCATTACTAATCATAACAATTGACTGATTACCAATCGATTATATAATTACAATACACCCCCCCCCCCTCAAATCACTGCACCTGAATGAGTTAAATGATGACGTCAACCTGCTGCTCTATTTAAGACCGGGAGCAAGTGAGGGCTTTACCATTCTGGCGAATTGCCCGATGATGCTGGATGAAATTACCAGCGAAACGTCGTACTCAAACTGTAAATGTTGTGGATTCGCTCTGCAACACACCGATGGGCTAAAGTAGTGAACTACTTGTCCTTTGTAAACATGACATTTTTTTACTGTTTGGCCGTGTCGGGTGATGGAGGGTTACAACACATTTATAAATAACGCGATCTAACCCAAAAACCTTTATTATGAATGTGCATGGATGTATGTACGTAGGTATGTTGAACTTCTTTCACACTGTACACAGCCAAGACGTGCGAATCGGAGGTGCGGGCGGGTGGGGGGGGTGGGTCAAGAAACTGAACACAAAAAGCAGTTCAAGAAATTAGTTTTCAATCTCGATTTTAAAGGACGAGGGACCTAGGGAATGATGAAGCCCTGGGGACGGATGAGACAACGACCGTGGACCGCGAGTAAATATAACACCGTTGGGCCAACGTTGGCACGTGGTCGGTACTGCTGGATCAACGTTAGCCCAGCCACATCCACGCTTACTGAGCCGGAGAAGGACGACTGCACAGTCGGAGTTGGGCCTTGAGAAGGATGAGGGCCTTGGGAAGGATGAGCACCGTTTAAACGATAAGGACTTTAGGGTAGGGAGAATTCGCATCATTAGGTTGCCATAGCACGTGGAAAAGTGCTGCCAAGGGGATGGCATTTAGACTTCAAACCGAGTCAGGTGGCTCATATAAAACAGGTAGCGGACCCAATGGGCTCTCACCTGCCTCTATTTTTGTTGCCTACTTCTTGTTGCGTTTCAAACACCTAACATCATTTTTTTAATTTATTTTATTGTCATACAAACTGGAGACTTATTTCAAACTGTGGGAATCGTGCCGTGGATTATGGAGGTAGTTCGGAAGACGTAGCAAGCCAAGAGGATGTAATGAAGGGGGTTGCAGAATTTGAATTCTCATCATTATTGGTAGGGTCATGTTAACTATTCAACCCCCCCCCCCCCCCCAATCGAGCGACAAAGTATCGAATTACTGAATCGTTGCGGGCCTAACCGGTTACACAATCATGCACTCGACGTTGTATGGCCATCGTCAATACCGAGAAGTGTGGCTGTGTCGCATCTCTCTCTCTCTGTTGCCCACGTTTCGCCTTGGCAGGAGATCAAGGCGGAGGGCTACATCAGCCTGCCCGAGTTCACCATCGCCCCTGCCACTGAGTGCAAACGCAAACAGTGAGTTATTACCGTCTTCCTCGACTTGGCCACAGAAGCAGGGCTGAGCATACCTGGACAAAGACAAAGTGCCGCATTATAGCCTGCCACAGACTGCAGTTAGCGAGCACCTATAAAGGCCTGCACGACGCAAGAGGGGGTTTGATGACCAACACCACACCTGGCTGCCTTTTGTCTTCCTCGTGGCTATGTTTACACACCGCACTAGGTACACATTTGAGGCCGAGTTGACCCAGGGGAGGCCCAGGACCGGTTCAGATAATTGTCACAGGTCTTGGCCGTGAGCAGGAATCGAACTCGGGTTGCCAGGTTTCGTGGCGCCAACCGCTGTACTAGCACTCCACCATACCAGGACAAACACACACACACACGTGGGTGTGCAGGGGCAACCTCAGATGGAGACAAGAGTATCAAAATCAGCATCTTTATTTATACTGGAGAAATCCGATGAGCCATATGAAGCTATTTTTCACTGATGTCCCATACTTGTTAACCCATACGGCTTACCAGTATTGTTGTACAGGGAAATTGGGTTTTCAGGTCCAGGCGGCATACAGCTGTTTCAATATGAGCAAAATAATTACGTGTCTTATTGTTTGTGTTTCTCCCTTATGATGAGACTTCGTAGGATGAACGTTGAGATTTATAAGGGTACGGGGTGACCATTAAGGTCTGAATTGGTCTGTAATAAGGTAGGGGGCACTAATAAGGGGTTGACAGGTATAATGTCCAGAAGGGGTGGGTCAGAAAGTTACAACGAATGTAGAAGTCATGGAGCTTACACCCACAAAGTAAGTCGCGCGAATGTGGATGACATCACTGGAATTTTGACACCACCACCATGGAAACATCAACTCCAAGATGTCATGATGATGTAGTTTGAGCTCCTAATTGCGGCCAGGTGTCACGTAGGTCCCCACAGTCATGCTGCCCACTCAGAAGTCTCTCACCAGATCTTTGCTGGGGATTTGGCAGTTAGTCAGGGTCACACGCTGTAGGAAAAGTTCTGGCAGGGGTGGACATTTAGTGGAAGATGCACCCCTTAAAATAGAATAATACATTGGAAGTATCTTGATCTGCTCTAACGAAGCGTGACCGCTGCTTCAGTGTTGCACCCAGAGCCTCTCCCCAGGGGTAGGGCGAATCTGGGCGACTGCCCTGGGCCCCGCACTTTGGGGGGCGCCCCGTGCTTCGGCGAGACCGTGGCAGACGTAACACTTATCGCTTTAGTTGGAAAGCGTCGGGGGAGGCACCCACACCGGTTCCCACACCCACCTATGGATGGCCCTGGTTTCACCTGCCGCCAACCCCGTCCGTCCGCACGGTTCAAATGACGGCTTCCCGCTTTGCTCTTCTATTTCCACCCCCCCCCACCCCCCCCTCCCCCCGTAAAAAAATAAAAATTCCACCCACCAAGTGCCTTCAAAGCGTCGCACCCCAAGCTGAAGCCGTTTTACTTCGCTGCCGAAAACAACGACGAGATGAACAGGTGAGCGGCGGGGTGTGTCGTGGGGGGAGAGGGAACGCTGCGGTGGTGGCGGCAGTGGCGACTGCGGCATCCTCGCGAGATCTGCGATTGGCCTATCGACTCGCCGATTTCGCGGGCAAAAACGAGCATTCTATTCGGTTTCGTGGAATTTACGGACGAAAATATTTCGCTGGTATTAACGGGGGGGGGGGGGGGAGGGAAATCGGAGCGTGGCGATGTCGACTGCGACTTTAGCTGCCCACCAGAGACCAGCGGCTCAGCAGTGGGTGACTGCGAGACGAGACGAAATTAATGAGTCCGAACGAAGGAGAGGCAGATTGAGATAATTTAGCAGGGTTATTAAGGGACTGCGGTGCCATGAGGGATAACACAAATGGTAATTGGCTATTTGTAAATGTAAAAAAAAAACCTCACTTCATTCGTCAGTAGCAGTGTGTGGCCTTAAAAGAAAACTGTATAATACGCGACATTTCAGGTGATGTCTCTTCTTCACAGCACATTGACCAAGTTCACTGATTGGTTGACTTAACTTAATAAATGAAGAGTGTTTGACTACATTTTTGCCGATGCAGTCGACTGGGCTAATTATAATTACGAAATTGAATCCACGAACGCTTTTAATATTTGGCAAAAATTCCACGTGCTACCGTTAACTAGACTTGAGACTGGCTCTTGAAATAGAAACAATGTTACCTAATTTCAAACACTGCAGATGGATAGTTGACATTTGCTGGGGCCAAACTGCTCTGTGCTTTGCCACAACAACAACTCATTGCCTTTTACAGCAAATCCTTAGGTGTATTACAACAGTATAGTAAACAAATATATTTTCTTTCCCAGGAAAGCCTCACCGAATTTCTTCACCACAGGCTCCATGTGACAGCAAACATTGAGAGCAAAAGCATTTTGAAAACCCTGCTCGATTCAGCTAGAACTTCCAATCTTTGGTGCAAAAGAAATATGAAAGTGAAGTTGGCAAGGGAATTTTTGACTGTAAGGAATTTTGTTTGAGCCGCAGTACGCCAGTGTTTGGTTTCATGTTTGACGAAGTGATGATCTTATTCATACCTGTGATTTAAATACAGGGTGGCACAAAAAGTTCAAGTTTTACCAGAGAAAGTGTCACTATCACCGTTGTTTGGCAGTTGTTTTGTGAATAGTTTTGACAACGTTTGGCACTTTTCCTCAATCGTGTATATCTCGATTGCGTTATCGGCATTGTGTCGAAGGTGAATCCATTCAGAGCTCTTTGTGTTGGAGAATGGCCATCGGCAACCGGTTGAGACAAAGGCATCAGAGCCTTAATCGGTGCTGGCAAACTGAAGACTCGCCTTGGCTCTGTCTGTTGTCATTGCGTCCCCCAGGTGGATGAACAGGCTGAGTCAGGCAACGTCAGCGCACGAGGGGGCACGGAGGGGAGATGAAGGTACGAAGATAAAGACGCCCCGCATAGCTTTACCAGACTGTTAGCGAGCACCTATGAAGGCCCGCACAGCACACGAGGGGGTAGGTGGCCAGCACCACGCCCGGCCACCTTTGCCTTCCAAGTGGCGATGTTTACACAACGCACCAGGTACTCATTTGAGGCTGAGTCGACCAAAGGGGATGCCCAGGACCGGTTCAGATATTCGTCACTGGTGTTGGCCTTAAGCGGGAATCGAACTCCGGTCGCCGGGTCCCCAGCGCGGCGTGCTAACGGCTACACCCCCCCCCCCAACCCCCCACATACGGATAGACACACGGACAGGCACTCGCAAACGTGTTCACAGTGGTGTGCCCCTTGCCGCTGTGTCTGACTTCGTGGGCAGCCCTCACCTGCACACACACGGTATACGCACTCGGTTTGCAGCCTGTGCGTGCCACGGAATCTGAACCTGCCTCCCTGCTGTAACCCCCCCCCCCCCCTCCCGCACGCAGATTACTGGAGCGAGAGCGATGGGGAGGAGGGAGAGGTGAGGGAGAGCCCCCCCGCCCCCGTACGACACCTTTCCTCGGCCGCCTTCCGTGAGTTCCGCACGTCTCACCGCAACGATCCCTCCGCCCCCCCCCCCCCACCCCCCACTAACCCTCTCCGTTATCCCTGTCACCCCGTGTCAACAGCTCAATTCTATCCCAGCAACTGCCAATTCCTTCCACGCTCACAGCTGAGCGCAACACAATTAAGAGCGGGACAGCTCTATAACACTTCCCAACGAAGATTGAAAGAGTTGCCGCGTCGGCTCTGTCCATCTGTAAAGGAGGGGGGAAGAGTTTGTGTAGAGCATGTATGTAGAACTTCTTCTGCACCATATGCAGCCAACATTGATAATCTGAGGTGCGGGTTTGGGGGAGGAAGACAGGAGTGGGGGGCCGTGGGGGTAAGGAGGGGGCGGGACACTAACACTCGTGAAGACGAAGCGATTTGACGTGGAACGTCCGCGTGAAGTTGCGTTGCAATTTGGGACTCACCCCTTTTTGTAAAACAAAAAACCCGGCCACGGTCATCGTCCAAAACCACGGTCACGGGGTCATCGTCAAAAACCACGGTCACGGGGTCATCGTCAAAAACCACGGTCACGGTCATCGTCCAAAACCACGGTCACGGGGTCATCGTCCAAAACCATGGCCACGGTCATCGTCCAAAACCACGGTCACAGTCATCGTCCAAAACCACGGTCACAGTCATCGAAAAGAGGGGGGGGGGTTGCACCAAACTCTGCAGACGCGAACCAACGCTAAAGGTTCACGATTGGGGGGGGGGGGCGGTTCACCGTGCCGTTCCGAATGGGAACATTTTGATTTATCCCAATGCACCCTCCCCCCCCACCGGTGCTCGCTCGCTTAGGTTGCAATATTCAAAGGAAAATGAACTAGCAAAAATAAATTGCTGAGCCTTGTAGGAAAAAAAAAGTCGGGAGTTGCCAGATGAGTGAGAGAAAACCACGGAGGCGAAGCCATGTGGTGCGATGTTTACAGGGAGCTGCTTGATGAATATGTAAGGGAGAGAGCGAGCGAGCTGTATTGGTTTGCTTACGCATTCAATTCATGTACAGCGAGGGAAAACAAAGTATTTGATCCCCTGCTGATTTTGTACGTTTGCCCACTGACAAAGAAATGATCAGTCTATAATTTTAATGGTAGGTTTATTTGAACAGTGAGAGACAGAATAGCAACAAAAAAATCCGGAAAAATGCATGTCAACAATGTTATAAATTGATTTGCATTTTAATGAGGGAAATAAGTATTTGATTCCTCTGCAAAACATGACTTAGTACTTGGTGGCAAAACCCTTGTTGGCAATCAGAGATCAGACGTTTCTTGTAGTTGGCCACCAGGTTTGCACACATCTCAGGAGGGATTTTGTCCCATTCGTCTTTGCAGATCTTCTCCAAGTCATTAAGGATTCGAGGCTGACGTTTGGCAACTCGAGCCTTCAACTCCCTCCACAGCTTTTCTATGGGATTAAGGTCTGGAGACTGGCTAGGCCACTCCAGGACCTCAATGTGCTTCTTCTTGAGCCACTCCTTTGTTGCCTTGGCCGTGTGTTTTGGGTCATTGTCATGCTGGAATACCCATCCACGACCCATTTTAAATGCCCTGGCTGAGGGAAGGAGGTTCTCACCCAAGATTTGGCGGTACATAGCCCCGTCCATTGTCCCTTTGATGTGGTGAAGTTGTGCTGTCCCCTTATCAGAAAAACACCCCCAAAGCATAATGTTTCCACCTCCATGTTTGACAGTGGGGATGGTGTTCTTGGGGTTATAGACAGCATTCCTCCTCCTCCAAACACGGCGAGTTGAGTTGATGCCAAAGAGCTCCATTTTGGTCTCATCTGACCACAACACTTTCACCCAGTTGTCCTCTGAATCATTCAGATGTTTATTGGCAAACTTCAGACGGGCATGTATATGTACTTTCTTGAGCAGGGGAACCTTGCGGGCGCTGCAGGATTTCAGTCCTTCACAGCGTAGTGTGTTACCAATTGTTTTCTTGGTGAAAAATGGTCCCAGCTGCCTTGAGATCATTGACAAGATCCTCCCGTGTAGTTCTGGGCTGATTCCTCACCGTTCATGATCATTGCAACTCCACGAGGTGAGATCTTGCATGGAGCCCCAGGCCGAGGGAGATTGACAGTTCTTTTGTGTTTCTTCCATTTGCAAATAATCACACCAACTGTTGTCACCTTCTCACCAAGCTGCTTGGCAATGGCCTTGTAGCCCATTCCAGCCTTGTGTAGGTCTACAATCTTGTCCCTGACATCCTTGGAGAGCTCTTTGGTCTTGGCCATGGTGGAGAGTTTGGAATCTGATTGATTGATTGCTTCTGTGGACAGGTGTCTTTTATACAGGTAACAATCTCAGCTCGTTAACTGTATAAAAGACACCTGGGAGCCAGACATTTTTCTGATTGAGAGGGGGTCAAATACTTATTTCCCTCATTAAAATGCAAATCAATTCATAAAATTTTTGACATGCGTTTTTCTGGATTTTGTTGTTGTTATTCTGCCTCTCACTGTTCAAATAAACCTACCATTAAAATTATAGACTGATCATTTCTTTGTCAGTGGGCAAACGTACACAATCAGCGGGGGATCAAATACTTTTTTCCCTCACTGTACAGACGGGCAGACGGATAGCTGCAGAGATGCAAGCGTTGCTTAGACTGATAATTGAATATTTTTTTGGATGCGGCTTGATTTTTTGGGTTTAGGACACGTCACGATCCGACCAAATGTTGTGTCGTTAAGAACCTCCGCCACCGCCCGACATAGCCCAACTAATTTAATTGTCATGTGGTGCTCGGGCTTTAAAACAAACGTTTCCGCTCACCTCACCGGTGAGTTGAGGAACAAATTCTCAGCGGTTAGATATATATATGCGCGACGTTTCGCTTGAGACTGCGCCACGCAGTGTCCGGTCAAGAAAACAGGTAGTCAGAACAAGTTCGTCGCCTGTCCTGGCTGCTGGAGCAGGCATCGTGACGTCACCAGGTCACGACAGTGACCTGTTGACGTCACCGACGAAGTGAACCCTCGCGTCCCCACAGAACAACTCGTCGTCCGGCTCCTACACGGAGGCGAAACACGGGCGCCAGTCCTCGCTCGACACGGTCAGCTCCCGCGGCTTCGCCGAGCGCCAGTCGTGGCAGGACATGATCGGGTCACCCGGCGGGCTCAACGCTCCCGCCGCCACCACCGCCGCCGGCACCGCCGCCATCTCCTCCTCCGCCTACGCCGGCGTGCGCAACCACTCGTCCTCGCCGGCGCGAGGATCGGCTTACGGCGGCGCCGGAAACCCAGCCACGCCGGCGGCTGGCGGGCAGGCGTATGGCGGCGGCGGTGGCGGCGGCAACAACCGCGCGCGAGCCGCGTCGCCCAACGCGTACGGCGCCACCGGCGCCTTCCCGCCGCCGCCGCCGCCGCCGTCGCCGCCCAACCGTGCCCAGCCGTACTGCCGGGCCGGCGCCACCTCCAGCTGGCGCCGCACGCCCAACGCGGTGGCGGCGTCGGCGGTGTCCGCCGGGCCCCGTCTCTTGTCGGTGGCACCCAACGATGACTACGACGTGGTGGCAGAGGACATCGCCAGGGTGGACGACGGAGGACGAGGAGGTGGAGGAGCAGCAGGGGACGAGGACGGAGATGCTGCTACGGAGAGGCCGGCCATATACGTGCCGAGGAACTACGCGGTGGCGAGCGGCAAGCCCGTGCAGGCAGGGCGCTTCCTCATCCGCGTGCCACAGGGAGGGGGGCGGCCCCAGGCGGCGGACCAGGACGCCCGCGTGCAGGGTAACGCTCGCGACGCTGCCACTGTCCGCCCAGCGTCGTCGTCGGTATTCCAGTCCCTCTGGTCGATAAGCAGGCGGCGAATATTTTTCGTCACCGCCGATATCTGCGGATTTTGTTTATTCGCTGGAAAACACCTACTAAGTTAATGCTGCACAACTGTGCCATGAACGCCTCCACTAACCGCTGACCTCTGACCCCTTGCTGCACTGTGCCACCGGTTGGGTGGTGACGTCTTACAATGATGCGCCGATAAAAAGTCGATTCCTGTGCCCTCGAAGTGTCAAATGCACGGTGCCGGATGAGGCATTGGTGCTCGTCTTCTGTTTACAGCCCTAAGGCAGTGATGTAAATTCCACGTTCCAATGGCTGGGGCGAATCCATCCATTAGACAATCACCGTTTCTTTCTCCACAGAGGTAACTCATTTTTACCAACCCCGGATGAATTACGAGCCAAAATCACCTTGGGCCCATGGGAACAGCTGCCACTTGGGGTGCCCCTTTCCAACGTGTTGAGTGATGCGTGGCCCGTAAAGAACTCTGACGTTTGTAAGAGGGTGGCTCTATCAAAAAACAAAACTCATTATTATTACTACTACCACCATGGGCCCGCACTCTCCGTATCACGTGTGACCGTGACCCCCCCCCGCGTGGTGACGCTGCCGCAGGGTGGACGCTGGGAGTGGGCGATCACGGCGCGGTATACGGGGACTACGGTGGTGGCGGTGGTGGCGGCGACAACTTCCCGTCGTCGGACGCCTTCTCACCTCCGCTGTCCCCCATCGAGCGGTCGTCGCCCGGCCCAACAGCAGCCACGCACCGGCCGCACCAGCAGCACCACCACCACCAGCCGGCCAACCACACCCCTCCGCACGGCCACGTGCACAAGGTGCGGTGTGTGACCGGGACTCGCTCGTCGGTCTTTATGGAGGGGGAGGCCGGCTGAGGGCGCTCGTTAGGTCAGAGAATCGAGCTGGCATGGCCGCTGCGATCTTGGGTTTGCTATCTCGGCCGCCTAACCTTGGCTTGAATTAATATTCCACCTGTTGGAGAATTGAAACGATAAATTGTTTTGGTTGACGACCACGCCACAAGCGCGTATGACGAGCAGGGCGTGACGGAGCGCGTGTGCGGATTTAAAGACGTCACAGCTGAGGGATCTCAGAAGTAGTTCCTTGTTAGCGCCTTCCACAGGCCGGTGCCGAACACGGTGATGGACGGGTTATGTCAGATTTTCAGACGGATATTCTTTGTGTCGTGGCATGATACGGATTAGGGAAAACGGGGAGGAGGAGGAGGGAGGAGGGGGTGAAATAAAACCAACCATTTTGTTGCCAATGTGTCTCCAGGGCCAGATGATGACGACAGTCGCGTGCGAGCAGTCACCCCCGGCGACGCCCTGTGACGTCATCTGCAATCAGGACCCCCCGCGGGCGCCCAAGGCGTCCAATCACCTGCCTGCGTTCGTCGAGACACACGTCTGAGGCCAAAATAAAGAAATGAACCGACGACGACGACCGTGAACGCTTCGACGGCCGGAGAACGGGACTAAAAACTCATCCGCGAACGGCGGCTTCGGCCGCAAAGGACAACGGCGGACAACCGGCAAGACGGACAACTGCAGGGACCCACGGCGCCGGGAGATTGGAATGTTGTTGGCACAACAGCCAAGCGATGCGAAAAATCGTTATTTTTTTTTTGTTCCTCCCGCCCAACGATTTCTTTTTTTTGGATTGCGCTAACGATTTGGAATCGAGCGGAACGCTGCGACTCTGTCGCCCGTGATGAGAAGGGTCCCGGAACAGCGGTGGATAGGAATATACCTTGTGGTGGTGATGGGGAGGGGGGGGATGATACAGGGATGTACCATGTATTGTGCATTTGCAGGGGTAGGGAGAAAATCGGCTACCACACCAAGGAGACATTTGTTGGGAGTTTGCCAGCAAAGGAGGCGGTGGTGGACGAGCGATGCCATCAAGCAGGTGGGGCCCATTGTGCTTCACGAAAAGATGCAATAAAGTGTGTGCGTGTGAGAGACAGAAGCTGTCCAAACCAGAGTGGGGTGGGGGGGAGAAGCCAGAGCCAGTAAGGGGGATGTAGGGCAGCTCAGGTGCCGGCAGCCAACGTCCACCCTGGCTGCCCAGCGCTGCGACGTCGGAGGGCAGCACAAGTGCGGCGTGCCGCCATGCACACCCTCCGTTTCCGCCGAGTCTAAGGTGCAATAAGCGAGAGCTCGGCACCAATCACGCGCACGGGGGTGTTGGGGAGGTGCACACCCATCGGGACGTTTCTCAAAAGCCGATCGCTCCGGCGACGCCAAAACGATGCCAAAATATCGTCCTCTGCGTCGGTGTCGCGAGCGCTTCGGCACGCGCGTGCGTTACGCGCG